GAAGAGGAAGAAGAAGAGGGAGAAGAGGGAGAAGAAGAGGAAGAAGAAGAGGGAGAAGAGGGAGAAGAAGAAGAAGAAGAAGAGGGGAGGAGGAAGAAGAAGAAGAAGAAGAAGAAGAAGAGGAAGAAGAGGAGGAAGAAGAAAGGAAAGAAAGAAGAGGAAGAAGGAAAGAAAGAAGGGAAGAGGATCAAGAATCCTTGTAAAGAAGCCTGGGTCCTGGTGATAGATATAGAGCTAGGAAGAGATGAAAAGCAGACAGAGTGGGTGAGATGTGCACTGAGATAGCTCGTAGACTCTGATGGACCTTGAAAATAGCTTTAGTCTAGAGATGAAAGCTATGTAAAGAAAAAGCCGACCTTTTATATAGACACCAAGATGTCGGAGACCCAGTCTAGCTAGAAAATGAGGTTACAGAAGCCTTTAGAGACCCAGAATAGTGGACAGCGGGCCAGCCAAAGGGCCAAAGGAGCCTGGAGAGCCAAAGAGGCTTGGAGATATTTAGAAAAACATAGAGAAGAGGTGAAAGGACTGTGCAGGGTGGGTCTAGATCTAGGGAAGGTTTAGAGAATGGGTCTAGATGAAGGGAAGGTTTAGAGGATGGGTCTAGATCTAGTGAAGGTTCAGAGCATCTAGGGTGACCTCTAGAAGAGGACTGGCCCAGTTTGACTAAAGAAAGAATTCGAGAGTCCCCGTATTGCCCGAGATAAGCCTGAGTACTGGATCTTGATCTCCTGTCCTTGATTAGGCTCTGTCAGATATAGAGCAGGCTCAGAGGGCATTTTCCAACCTGTAGTATGATAGTATTAGTGTATTAGTGAGCGTCAATGTCATAGATGGTTTGAACGTTTTCAAAATAGTGATGAAAGCGGAGAAATGCTGAGGGAAAGGGTAGACTCTCGTCAAAAGTGCTCAACGAATATTTGCTTGAAATTATTGAGGATAATCTAGCTAGGAGAATCTAGCAGCAGCTAGGAGAATCTAGCAGCTAGCTAGGAGAATCTAGCAGCTAGCTAGGGAGAATCTAGCAGCAGCTAGCAGAATCTTGCCTTTTGTAAGAGGCCTAGATAAGATAATACCAACGATAATTGAAGATGAAAATGATCAAATTGGGAAAGAGAGGCGGCTGGGAGAATGGGTTTCTCAAGAATGGGTTCCAAGAATTGGATCCTCAAGAATTGACTCAATAAACGACAATAACTCCCACGTCTTAACGTTTGCTCGTTTCTTAACGTTTTCTTTGCCTTTCTTTGCTTTTCTTTTCTTCAAAAGTGATTTAAACGAGTTTTTTTCAATAGAATTTTGACTTCTGATAAGAAATTGATTAGCTATGAGAGTGTAAAACGAATTGGATTGCATTGCATTGCAATGTAAGGGGAAACCGTGGTCGAGTGCGCGCGCGGCGCCCCGTCCCATTGCCATTAGCGGCCTAACATCTGAGCTCAAAAATCTTGGCTTTGGTCTCTTCAATTGAAATGTTCTTGGTATCAATAGATTCGGCAAGTCTTTCTCTATCGATTGGTACAAATTGGTCAGCTGTTCGAATGTTCGAATGGTCAGCTGTTCGAATTGGTCAGCTGAACACCGAGATAATGGAGCTTAAAGTCAGGTGGGCGCGCGACGATTAAGGCAGGCGCGCGACGATTAAGGCAGGCGCGCGACCCTTAAGGCAGGCGCGCGACGATTAAGGCAGGCGCGCGACGATTAAGGGCGCGACGCTTAAGGCAGGCGCGCGACGCTTAAGGGCGCGACGATTAAGGGCGCGACGATTAAGGGCGCGACGATTAAGGGCGCGACGATTAAGGCAGGAGCGCGACGATTAAGGGCGCGACGATTAAGGCAGGCGCGCGACGATTAAGGGCGCGACGATTAAGGGCGCGACGCTTAAGGCAGGCGCGCGACGCTTAAGGGCGCGACGATTAAGGCAGGCGCGCGACGATTAAGGCAGGCGCGCGACGATTAAGGCAGGCGTGCGACGCTTAAGGGCGCGACGATTAAGGCAGGCGCGCGACGATTAAGGGCGCGACGATTAAGGGCGCGACGCTTAAGGCAGGCGCGCGACGATTAAGGCAGGCGCGCGACGATTAAGGGCGCGACGCTTAAGGCAGGCGCGCGACGATTAAGGGCGCGACGATTAAGGCAGGCGCGCGACGATTAAGGGCGCGACGATTAAGGGCGCGACGCTTAAGGCAGGCGCGCGACGCTTAAGGGCGCGACGATTAAGGCAGGCGCGCGACGATTAAGGGCGCGACGATTAAGGGCGCGACGATTAAGGGGCGCGACGATTAAGGGCGCGACGCTTAAGGCAGGCGCGCGACGCTTAAGGGCGCGACGATTAAGGCAGGCGCGCGACGATTAGGACGCGACGCTTAAGGCAGGCGCGCGACGATTAAGGGCGCAACGATTAAGGCAGGCGCGCGACGATTAAGGCAGGCGCGCGACGATTAAAGGCGCGACGCTTAAGGCAGGCGCGCGACGTCAATCCCGCGCCAAAGTCTAGAGTTGTTGGTTCGGCTCTCCCGCGCACTTGAGAATTTGGGAGTCCAGGTTACTCAATTGACCTTAAAGCTGAGATTCATGAATCCTATATTGATAGTGGAAAGGATTGATGCATTTTGAGTTGTTGAAATCTAAAGAAACAGTTTCTATCGACCTCTACACAAAGCGATTAACCGCTTTGAAGCTTTGTTGACAAAGCTTTGAAGAAATTGAGCCTCAAATCGTTGAGAGTCACTTGAAAAGCTTCACTTCAAGCTTCACTGACTACTTTACATTCAAAACTCGAGTTTTTTTTGGGAATGGTAAACGTGTTTTTGCGTGCGATGAGAACAAGACATCGATAATAATGACGAAAACGAATGACGAACCTAAAGAAACAGTTTTTATCGACCTCTGCACAAAGCGATTAACAAGAGTTGGACTGAAACTTTTTCTTTCGTCTTTTTGTTTATCGTCTTTTGTTAAATAAGTTATCACCCAAAAACCATTTCATTGTTGCCAATCTAATGTTTGTAAGCATCCCAAGGATGATTCCTGAGCATGTAAGCATCCCAAGGATGATTCCTGAGCATGTAAGCATCCCCAGCATTCTTCCTGAGCATGTAAGCATCCCCAGCATTCTTCCTGAGCATGTAAGCATCCCCAGCATTCTTCCTGAGCATGTAAGCATCCCCAGGATGATTCCTGAGCATGTAAGCATCCCAAGGATGATTCCTGAGCATGTAAGCATCCCCAGCATTCTTCCTGAGCATGTAAGCATCCCCAGCATTCTTCCTGAGCATGTAAGCATCCCCAGCATTCTTCCTGAGCATGTAAGCATCCCAAGGATGATTCCTGAGCATGTAAGCATCTCCAGCATGCTTCCTGAGCATGTAAGCATCCCCAGCATTCTTCCTGAGAATGTAAGCATCCCCAGCATTCTTCCTGAGAATGTAAGCATCCCCAGCATTCTTCCTGAGCATGTAAGCATCCCCAGCATTCTTCCTGAGCTCTGTTTTGCATTGTTTCTGTATCTCTCGCTTCCAGGGTGGTCCTTGGGTTCCTAGACTTTTCCCTGAACAACTTGAACAGAACTTTTCAGGGTAGATCAAGAGATTAGGATCTGTAGATCTGTAGCTTTGACGATTTGAGCTCCAATTTCTGTGGATCTGTAGATCTGTAGGACAGGATTTGTAGAGCTATAGACTAGGATCTGTAGATATCTAGATCGGTATCTAGATTTAAGTAACCTGATTACTTTAAACATCGAACATGACTCTTTTAAACAAATCAGTGTTTTAACAATTCTTTTAGCCGATCCACGTCCCTTCAGCTCCATATGCTGCAATGGTGCCTCCAGGATCTGTAGACCAGGATCTGTAGACTAGGATCTATAGACTAGGATCTATAGACTAGTATCTATAGTCCAGTTTCTATAGACCAGGATCCATAGGCCAGGATCTGTAGACCTCCAGGCAAAACCCTATCCCCTTCCTGACTCGACTTTTCAAAGAAAAACCCTTCCCCTCCTCTTTCAAGCTTACTACACGTGGATTTTGTTTTCCGTTTTCTTTTCAGAAAAAGGAAACCCGGTCATTGAGTGAGGTAATTGCTTGTTTCTTTGCTGATGTGAAGAAGAAGAGGTAGAAGAAGAGGAAGAAGAAGAGGGAGAAGAAGAGGAAGAAGAAGAGGAAGAAGAAGGGCAAGAAGAAGAGGTAGAAGAAGAGGAAGAAGAAGAGGGAGAAGAAGAGGAAGAAGAAGAGGAAGAAGAAGGGCAAGAAGAAGAGGTAGAAGAAGAGGAAGAAGAAGAGGGAGAAGAAGAGGAAGAAGAAGAGGAAGAAGAAGGGCAAGAAGAAGAGGTAGAAGAAGAGGAAGAAGAAGAGGGAGAAGAAGAGGAAGAAGAAGAGGAAGAAGAAGGGCAAGAAGAAGAGGTAGAAGAAGAGGAAGAAGAAGAGGGAGAAGAAGAGGAAGAAGAAGAGGAAGAAGAAGGGCAAGAAGAAGAGGTAGAAGAAGAGGAAGAAGAAGAGGGAGAAGAAGAGGAAGAAGAAGAGGAAGAAGAAGGGCAAGAAGAAGAGGTAGAAGAAGAGGAAGAAGAAGAGGGAGAAGAAGAGGAAGAAGAAGAGGAAGAAGAAGGGCAAGAAGAAGAGGTAGAAGAAGAGGAAGAAGAAGAGGGAGAAGAAGAGGAAGAAGAAGAGGAAGAAGAAGGGCAAGAAGAAGAGGGAGAAGAAGAGGAAGAAGAAGGGCAAGAAGAAGAGGAAGAAGAAGGGCAAGAAGAAGAGGGAGAAGAAGAGGAAGAAGAAGAGGGAGAAGAAGAGGGAGAAGAAGAGAGGAAGAGGAAGAAAGGTCAAAAATCGGGAATATTTCAAAGAACTAGGTGAAAGAGCATTCAAATCGAGATATTGGATTCGATTTTTTAGTTTACTAGTTTAGTTTATTCTAAAAGTGTACAGTATTTCACAGAAATTGTGTTAAATTTCATTTTCTTTCCATTTTCAATTTAATTTCTTAATTTTTGATGGGTTTTGTTGACTTTTCTTTGGTTTTAACATTAAAAACTTATTCAAATCTAGTCTAAAACCGACAAAAAAGTCCAAAAATCAACACTTTTCAACGAATTCTTCTTTCCTCTCGAATCCACGTGATTGAAAAAGCAAAGATTTAAAAAAAAAAAGTGACGTCATCAAGGAAATATTGGTTGCAAAAAGGAAAGGAAAAGTGTTTTCGCTATTTTTCTTTTTTTTTTTTCTTTTCCGAATGACAAATGGTGCTTTGTGAGGGAAAGAAAAAGAGATGCGGAGGGAAAATGACGTAAAATAGAGGGAAAAGGGGAAAGAAAGGAGAGCAAAGCATTTTTTGGAGATCACGTCAAGGAGTGAGCTGGAAAAGGGAGGGGTTGCGGGTTGAGAGTGAGCTGAGGTCAGCCTGGGGTCACCCGTAGGTTCCATCAAAAATATCGAGCAGGATGTGGAGGTTCGTGGAGGCTTATGGAGGTCCATGGAGACTTATGGAGGCTCATGGAGGCTTATGGAGGCTTAAGGAGGCTTATGGAGGCTTATGAAGGCTGGTGAAGGCTTATGGAGGCTCATGGAGGCTTATGGAGGCCCATGGAGGTTCGTGGAGGCCTATGGAGGTCCATGGAGACTTATGGAGGCTTATGGAGGCTTATGCAGGCTTATGGAGGCTTATGGAGGCTTATGGAGGCTTATGGAGGCTTATGGAGGCCCATGGAGGTTCGTGGAGGCTTATGGAGGCTCGTGAAGGCTTATGGAGGCTTATGGAGGCTCGTGAAGGCTTATGGAGGCTCATAGAGGCTCGTGGAGGCTCGTGAAGGCTCATGGAGGTTCGTGGAGGCTTATGGAGGCTCGTGAAGGCTTATGGAGGCCCATGGAGGTTCGTGGAGGCTCGTGAAGGCCTATGGAGGCTCGTGAAGGCTTATGGAGGCCCATGGAGGTTCGTGGAGGCCTATGGAGGTCCATGGAGGCTCATAGAGGCTCGTGGAGGCTCGTGAAGGCTCATGGAGGTTCGTGGAGGCCTATGGAGGCTCGTGGAGGCCTATGGAGGCTCGTGAAGGCCCATGGAGGTTCGTGGAGGCCTATGAAGGCTCATCAGCGTTATGGAGGCTCGTGGAGGCTTATGGAGGCTCGTGAAGGCCCATGGAGGTTCGTGGAGGCTTATGGAGGCTCGTGAAGGCTTATGGAGGCCCATGGAGGTTCGTGGAGGCTCGTGAAGGCCTATGGAGGCTCGTGAAGGCTTATGGAGGCCCATGGAGGTTCGTGGAGGCCTATGGAGGTCCATGGAGGCTCATAGAGGCTCGTGGAGGCTCGTGAAGGCTCATGGAGGTTCGTGGAGGCCTATGGAGGCTCGTGGAGGCCTATGGAGGCTCGTGAAGGCCCATGGAGGTTCGTGGAGGCCTATGAAGGCTCATCAGCGTTATGGAGGCTCGTGGAGGCTTATGGAGGCTCGTGAAGGCCCATGGAGGTTCGTGGAGGCCTATGAAGGCTCATCAGCGTTATGGAGGCTCGTGGAGGCTTATGGAGGCTCGTGAAGGCCCATGGAGGTTCGTGGAGGCTCATGGAGGTTCGCGGAGGCTTATGGAGGCTGGTGAAGGCTTATGGAGGCTCGTGAAGGCCTATGGAGGCTCGTGGAGGCTTATGGAGGCTTATGGAGGCTCACGGAGGCTCATGAAGCGAAGTGAAGCGGGTCAGGGGTCAGGCTATGATTCTGTGGAGTGTAGTTAAACTTAATGTCAATCCTAACAAGTTGCGAGCTCTATGTGGAAGAGGGAATTTTCAGGAGATCAGGGAACTTTGAAGGGACCAGGGAACTTTTAAAAGACCACGATTCAGGGAAAGAGCCCTGAATAACATAGAGTAATAGTCGTCTATTTTTTTACCTGTCCATTACTATACTATAAACAGATTAGACATATAATCCATATCCTTTTTTTTGCATACATTCGATTATCCATAAATGCTCGATAATCTGGCAAAAAGGAAATAAAGCTTATCTACGTGTTAATTTGCGAAATAAAACAGTTTTTTGAAAAATTTATTTAAACAAAAGCAAGAATTCTTCAATCTAAACAACCCGGATAAAGAAAAAAAAAGAGAATTTTTTTAAAATGAGCATTTTCTGAGGCTTTTGAGTATCTACCGGTAGTGAAAAGGACAAATTTGAGCTTTGTTTTTGGTTATTTTCTTTCGGTGGAGAGGGATGAGTGAAGAGTTGAGTGAGAGTCGCCCTGAATGGTTTCATGAATGGTTTGATGGGTTTAGAGCTAGAGAAAGAGCTAGAGAAAGGCTTCTAGAGCTAGAGAGAGCCTTCTAGAACTAGAGAAAGCCTTATAGAGCTAGATAAAGGCTTCTAGAGCTAGAGGAAGGGTTCTAGAGCTAGAGAAAGCCTTCTAGAGCTAGAGAAAGAGCTAGAGAAAGCCTTCTAGAGCTAGAGAAAGCCTTCTAGAGCTAGAGAAAGCCTTCTAGAGCTAGAGAAAGCCTTCTAGAGCTAGAGAAAGAGCTAGAGAAAGCCTTCTAGAGCTAGAGAAAGCCTTCTAGAGCTAGAGAAAGCCTTCTAGAGCTAGAGAAAGCCTTCTAGAGCTAGAGAAAGAGCTAGAGAAAGCCTTCTAGAGCTAGAGAGAGCCTTCTAGAGCTAGAGAAAGAGCTAGAGAAAGCCTTCTAGAGCTAGAGAAAGCCTTCTAGAGCTAGAGAAAGCCTTCTAGAGCTAGAGAAAGAGCTAGAGAAAGCCTTCTAGAGCTAGAGAGAGCCTTCTAGAGCTAGAGAAAGAGCTAGAGAAAGCCTTCTAGAGCTAGAGAAAGCCTTCTAGAGCTAGAGAAAGCCTTCTAGAGCTAGAGAAAGAGCTAGAGAAAGCCTTCTAGAGCTAGAGAAAGCCTTCTAGAGCTAGAGAAAGCCTTCTAGAGCTAGAGAAAGAGCTAGAGAAAGCCTTCTAGAGCTAGAGAGAGCCTTCTAGAGCTAGAGAAAGAGCTAGAGAAAGCCTTCTAGAGCTAGAGAGAGCCTTCTAGAGCTAGAGAAAGAGCTAGAGAAAGGCTTCTAGATCTAGAGAAAGAGCTAGAGAAAGGCTTTAGATCTAAAGAAAAGCTTTATCTAAGCTCTCACCTGAACAACCCGACTCGAGAGTCCGTGTGCTTTTGGAATAAAACGAATTTGACGAGCTCGACAAAAGCCACAACTTCGCGAGCAATCACGACGCATGTAGATCGAAGAGATCTGGATACGGGAATCGTTAAAATAGAGAACACCTACATTACTAGCTTGTCGATAAAAAAGCTAGCTTCCAAAGCTACATTACTAGCTTCCAAAGCACTCAAAAACCAACCCTACAAACATCGGGATTCCCTTGTAACCACGCCGAGCACCACGGCGAACGATCAACGCATTGTTGAAGGTCTAAAGTAAAGCCAGCTATTTGAATAGAATATTTGATATTTGAATATGGTTACAGTAGGGTTATTGTATGTCTACAATAGCCTTGCAACCACGCCGAGCATCACGGGGATCGATCAACGCATTGTTGATCGATCTGTGTGCCAAATTCTCGAACTCACTTGCAATCGATTGATCAACGGCTACTGGACGAGGGGTAAATCTGAAAAAACAAGGTTTAGACTCAGATTTGTTAACTAAGGGCTAAGTCACTGAAAGTTTGTAAGTAACTGAAACCAATCCCACAGAATATGAATAACAAAGTAAGTCTGACTCCTCTACCCTTTGCAGTGTGGACTGGTCCTGACTTTGGTCCTGGCCCTGGCCCTAGCTCTGGCCCTGGTCCGAGTCCTGGTCCTGGTTCTGGTCCTGGTCCTGACCCTGGTCCTGACCCTGGTCCTGGTCTTGGTTCTGACTCTGGTTCTGGTTCTGACCCTAGTTCTGGTTCTGAAACTAGTTCTGGTCCTGGTCCGGGTCCTGGTCCTATTCCTGGTCCCAGTCCTGGTCCTGGTCCTAGTCCTAGTCCTAGTCCTGGTCTTGGTCCTAGTCCCAGGCCTGGTCCTGGTCCTGATCCTCGTCCTAGCCCTGGTCCTGTTCCTAGTTCTAGTCCTGGTCCTGATCCTGGTCCTATTTCTGGTCCCAGTCCGATTCCTGGTCCTAGTCCTATTCCTGGTCCTAGTCCTATTCCTGGTCCTAGTCCTATTCCTGGTCCTAGTCCTATTCCTGGTCCCAGTCCTATTCCTGGTCCTAGTCCTATTCCTGGTCCTAGTCCTATTCCTGGTCCTAGTCCTATTCCTGGTCCCAGTCCTATTCCTGGTCCTAGTCCTATTCCTGGTCCCAGTCCTATTCCTGGTCCAAATCCTGAGTCTATAGCTTCGCCTGGTTCAACTCCAGCTCTTACCGTCCACATTGAGAAAAAGGTTTGAGCCAGAACCAGGCCAGGTTCTGGATCTGATCTGGATCTGATCTGACTTTGATCTGGATCTGATTTGGATCTAATTATAGTCCATATTCTTTCCTAGTCTGGTCCAAACCAGATTTGAACTAAGTCAATCTCTGGTTCAGATCTAATCTAGATCTGCAATCAGTCACGATCTTACCCTGTCCTTCGAACACAGTCTAGCTTATTGTCAGGGCTAGTCTGAGCCTAGGCTTTACCTAAAGAGTTTGATTCTAGCCTTGGCTTAGCCCAAGTCAAGTCTGGTTTGAGTTCAGGCCCAGCCAAAGCCATCTTCACCTCAACATATTCTGTGCTTTCGACAAGAAAATCGGTAGTCGTCTTTGTCCATCCTGTCCTCCCTCGACGACTCTCATTGGCAACTCGAGAATCCTGCCCGGTATCACCTTCAACTCCTTGCGTAATTGTTGCTGCAATTGTACGAGTTTGAATCTCTCTTCCTTCTCTTCTTCCTCTCTCTCTACCTCTCTCTCTTCCTTCTCTTCTTCCTCTCTCTCTACCTCTCTCTCTTCCTCTCTTTCTTTCTCTCTCTCTTCCTTCTCTTCTTCCTCTCTTTCTTCAGCTCTCCTCCTGGCTTCTTCCTGTATTCTGAGTTGTCTTCTGAGCCATTCCTGTTGTTGACGTAGCTTTGTGAGATTGTTAATGACTAATCTCTTTGGGAAAGTTTGATTTGCTCGAGATTGATTTGCTCGTGATGGTACTGTAAGTACAGTAAGCTTTGTACTGGGTACAGTAAGATTGGTACTGGGTACAGTAATTGGTACAGTAATGGGCACTGGCTTTGTTTTCCACGAGGGTATTGTCGTCGAACCAGTTACGGTGCTTCTCCTCCAAGCTCCTGTAGCTACCGTTCTCAATGCTGCTGATTCCGACATTGGCACTGAGCTTGTCTTCCACCAAGGTACTGTACTTAGTGTTGAGGTTTTTACAGTCGGTGCTACAGTCGGCGCTACAGTACTCGTCTTCCACCAGGGTACTGTACTAATTGTACTACTTGTACTTACAGTACTTTGTACTGTAGGCCTTGAGCTCGTCTTCCACCAGGGTACAACAGTGCTTGCTGTAGGCTGTACAGTACTCGTTTTCCACCAGGGTACTGTAGACTGTACTGTAGTCTGTACAGTACCCACGGTTGAACCTCTTGAGCTTACTGTAGGTGCTAAAGTACTCGTTTTCCACCAGGGTACTGTAGACTGTACTGTACTCGTTCTTTCCGCTCCTTTTGTTTGAAAAATTCTTCGAAAGGCTGTCGGCACAATGGGTTGAGTGGAAAAGCTGCAAATAAAATGAAAATGAATGAAATGATCTGTGGTCGGTCATAGAAATTGAAAAAATCTTGTACTGAGATCCAGCTGGAGCTTCAGAGATCGAGCTGGAGCTTCAGAGATCAAGCTGGAGCTTCAGAGATCCAGCTAGAGCTTCAGAGTTCCAGCTGGAGCTTCAGAGATCAAGCTGGAGCTTCAGAGATCCAGCTGGAGCTTCAGAGTTCCAGTTGGAGCTTCAGAGATCAAGCTGGAGCTTCAGAGATCCAGCTAGAGCTTCAGAGATCCAGCTAGAGCTTCAGAGATCATGCTGGAGCTTCAGAGATCCAGCTAGAGCTTCAGAGATCCAGTTGGAGCTTCAGAGATCAAGCTGGAGCTCCAGAGTTCCAGTTGGAGCTTCAGAGTTCCAGCTGGAGCTCCAGAGCTCCAGATTGACTCTAGTACTTACTAACAGCTTTGTACTACCCAAGTACTAGATAATAAGAGCACTGTAGCCTTGTCTTTACAGTAAGACAAAGGATTTAAATTCTCAAAAGATTCAAATCTAGTACTAACATTTGAAACAGTAAAACAATTGCCAAACTTCTATGACATAACACCGATCAGATTGTGAGTGAGAAGCGGCTATGATTAGTAAATTCTAGTAACGTACACTCTTCTCGTTGTTGTCTTTTGTGTTGTGCTCGTTTTCCACCATGGTACTGTTGTCGTTGTTGGCGGTGGAGTGGTTGTTGTTGTGATGATCGATGGGGAAACTAGAAATAGACATAGATTCGATTCAAGCCGAATCCAATCAAATCCGATTTCATCCGAATTCAATCAGATCCGCCGAGAAACGAGAAAACAAAGGTGGAAACAGGTTTGGCTTCGAATTATCCTAGTCTACTGTAGACTAGGATTAGTTACGAGACTAGGATTACGGTAGACTGTAGACTATTGTAGTCTACTGTAGACTACTGTAGTCTACTGTAGACTAGGATCACGGTACGGTCTGTAAAAAACTCACGCTCAGGTCTGTTGGCTCTTGCGCGATCGAGTACTGCTTGAACGACGACCTTAATCCCATCCCATGTCTCTTTTCCGGTAGGGATCAATTGACGTGGATCGAGGAGGAAACCGTCCCAAACTAAAGAAATTGGGCTAAACCTGGAAACTTAAATTTCCCAAATTATCGTATTTAGGTACAGTAGCTACAGCAGCTCCAGCTCCAGAGCTCTATTAGCTCCAGCTCCAGAACTCTATTAGCTCCAGCTCCAGAGCTCTATTAGCTCCAGCTCCAGAGTTCCAGCTCCAGAGCTCCGAACTCCAGAGCTCCAACTCCAGAGCTCTATTAGCTCCAGCTCCAGAGCTCTATTAGCTCCAGCTCCAGAGCTCTATTAGCTCCAGCTCCAGAGTTCCAGCTCCAGAGCTCCGAACTCCAGAGCTCCAGAGCTCCAGAGCTCCAACTCCAGAGCTCTATTAGCTCCAGCTCCAGAGTTAAGTTACTTAGTTAAATCCTATCCTCGAAGTACAGTACTGGCCAATGAAATATCATATTGAAATATCATTTGAAAAACGATCGTCACTTTCGCGCGTCTGTAACTCCCTTGTCTTTGAGTTTAAACTATTAGTGCTATACATTTTCTGAAAGCTCTTTTCAAGCGCTACACAATGATAATATTAATATTTAGAAATACGGTAAAGACAAGGGAGTTACAGGCGCGCGAAAGTGACGATCTCTTTTCAAATATGATATTTGTCATTTTCCAGTAGTGTAGGTAGAGCTAAGATAGACCATATTAGCTCAGATCCAGGTACGATAAAGTTCAGGTCAAGCAACAGGTCTTCCAGGCCTGGTCCAGGCTTGGTCCAAACCTGGTCCAGGCCTAGTCTCACCCGTAGTTTACTTCTGACTCTGGTTCGCTTCAAAACCAAACCTTCATCAGCTGGTCGCAACTCCAACAAGTAAACGTATTTCACTTTGGCCACTCCCTTCGCCCAGTCGTCCGATCCGCCCGATGACGGGTCTAAATGATGGAAAGATCTACAGTAGATACAGTAGATACTGGGCTAGTAGCTCTTGGGCTAGTAGCTCTTAAGCTTAACTAGCTTTCTTTCTTGGCTTTCCTAGCTTTCCTAGCTTTCCTAGCTTTCCTAGCTTTCCTAGCTTCCTTAGCTTCCTTAGCTTCCTTAGTTTCCTTAGCTTTCTTAACTTTCTTAGCTTCCTTAGCTTTCTTTCTGGGCCTTCTTAAGCTTTACTAGCGTAACGTGCTACAGTACAGCTTAATATTGCTTTGAGAAAGCTTACACAAAATATCGGCTCCAGTTCCAAAACGATACGCCGTTCCATAGTCTTTTTCCAACGCTGCGACTCCGTTTAAACCGACTTCTCGCTGAAATTTGGATGTTTTGAAATTACGGATTTTGGAAGTATGGATTACTGGAGTTCTTTTGCTGACTTCAAGATCGAATTCTGATTTTGTCAGATCCAGGGGGAAAACCTGGACCTATTTTAGCCTAGCTAGCTCTACTCTAGCTAGCTCTACTCTACTCTACTCTACTCTACTCTACTCTACTCTAGCTAGCTCTACTCTAGCTAGCTCTGGAGCGGTTATTTTGACGTCTGATGTTACGTCGGATCTAGACTGATTCAAGATCGGATTTCTGATCTAGAATCAAGCCAATCACTCTAAATCTAAGTCTAGATCGAACGTCTGGATCAAATGTCTCGATCGAACGTCCTGATCGTCTGGAATACAGTCTGGATTATAGTGATCGGCTTGATTCAAGGTCTAAGCCTGAGCCTGAGCCAAAGCCTAAGCCTAAGCCAAGCCTAAGCCTAAGCCAAAGCCTAAGCCTAAGCCTAAGCCTAAGCCTAAGCCTAAGCCAAGCCTAAGCCTAAGCCTAAGCCTAAGCCTAAGCCTAAGCCAAGCCTAAGCCTAAGCCTAAGCCTAAGCCAAGCCTAAGCCTAAGCCAAAGCCTAAGCCTAAGCCTAAGCCTAAGCCTGAGCCTCAAGTCCATCAAGCCCATCAAGCCCACAAAATTCCCAAGTACTCACCAAATCTTGCACATCCTCTGGATAGGTTCTCTCCTGATTACTGTAGGGATGGATCCACATCTAGGCTTACAGTAGAGTTATCTAGGATTCATTCAAACCTGTGCATACGTGTGCAATGTGATGAAAGCGTCTGTTTTCCCGTGCAATTCTGGTGACATCAGCATGTCGCGGATGGCTCTGAAATGGCTACTGTACTGTGCCATCTACTGTACTATTGTACATCACTGTACTCTTCTACTAGTGTACATCACTGTACTGCTTGTAAAGATGGGTAGGCTACTATTGTATCCTACCCATCTCTGTACCATACCTCTTGTACTCCTCTACCTACTCCTCTACTTCCTCTACTTCCTCTACTTCCTCTACGCCCTCTACGCCCTCTACCTCTCTACCTCCTCTACCCCCTCTACCTCCTCTACCTCTTCTACCTCCTCTACCTCTTTTACACCTCTATTGCCTCTACCCCTCTACCTCTTCTACCTCTTCTACCCCTCTACTTCCTCTACTGGGGTCTGTGGAATACAAGAGGTACTATCCCACAGTTGCTATCCTATTCCCTACACCACAGTACTATCTATTACCATCCCTAGATGCGTCCATGAGTCCGTTAATCGTTAACCTATCCAGCGTTAACCTATCGTTAACCTATCGTTAACCTATCCAGCGTTAACCTATCGTTAATCTATCCAGCGTTAACCTATCGTTAACCTATCGTTAACCTATCGTTAACCTATCGTTAACCTATCGTTAACCTATCCAGCGTTAACCTATCGTTAACCTATCCAGCGTTAACCTATCGTTAATCTATCCAGCTACTCATCCCTATCCCATACACCTGTACCTTACTCCTGTACCTTTTACCGTCTCCATTGTAGCTCTAAATCTGTGCTTCTAACTTCATTTGTCTTTTTCGCTGTCTTAATTTGTCTGTCTCTTGTCTGTCTAAACTTGTCGAACTTTCATTTCTCAATAAAAATCTTTGTCCCGACAACTCACCGTGATTCTGGTTCACTAAAAGCAGTGTCACCTTGAAAAACTTCAGAGCATCGCTCGGTTGAGGAGCCAGTTTCTGGAAAATAGCAATATAGCAATATCCAGCCCAGCTCTGGATTCGTTTCTCTTTAAAATCTAATTCTTACGCTGAATTAAGTGAAATCTTGCTTTTATTAACATTTCCAAACAGATCTTTTTGATCTTTCGATAGAAAAATAACATTGTTACTTGCTGAGCTTGCTGAGCTCTTGCTGAGCTTGCTGAGCTTGCTGAGCTCTTGCTGAGCCTGCTGAGCTCTTGCTGAGCCTGCTGAGCTCTTGCTGAGCCTGCTGAGCTCTTGCTGAGCCTGCTGAGCTCTTGCTGAGCTTGCTGAGCTTGCTGAGCTCTTGCTGAGCCTGCTGAGCTCTTGCTGAGCCTGCTGAGCTCTTGCTGAGCTTGCTGAGCTTGCTGAGCTCTTGCTGAGCCTGCTGAGCTCTTGCTGAGCTTGCTGAGCTTGCTGAGCTCTTGCTGAGCCTGCTGAGCTCTTGCTGAGCCTGCTGAGCTCTTGCTGAGCCTGCTGAGCTCTTGCTGAGCCTGCTGAGCTCTTGCTGAGCCTGCTGAGCTCTTGCTGAGCCTGCTGAGCTCTTGCTGAGCTTGCTGAGCTCTTGCTGAGCTTGCTGAGCTTGCTGAGCATCGTCTCCATTTAACGCCGACTTCTTTAAGCACTCTTTAACCACCAACCAGCCCAATGGAAATCGAAATTCCTATTCAAATCGACGCCTCCACAGCAGCGCTCGCGAAACCATCGCAAATCGAGTTTACACCGAATATCCCCGCGATTCTTTCGCCATAAACGATGCTGAAGAGCTGGTTGATAGAAAGGGTCAAAAAAAGCGAACCGATCACACCAATGGAGTGATGTCGTCACGCGAAAACTCGTAGCCATCCGGATTCGCGAGTGGAAGGATGTAGAAAGAAAGCGAGTCGATGAAAGAACGCGTTGTGGAGTCGATTTCATACGTGGAGATTAGCTGCAATTCGAGATTAGCTTCGAGATTGGCTTCGAGATTAGCTTTGTTGCACTGTGCTTTGCTACATTCATCTAATTCTACAGTATCCTCTAGCTACAGTGCTTACAGTACATGGTTACAGTACTGTACAGTACATGGCTACGGTACTGGACAGTACATGGCTACAGTGCTATAGATGGCTACAGTACTGTACAGTACATGACTACAGTACTGTACAGTACATGGCTACAGTACATGGCTACAATACTGTACTGTACATGGCTACGGTACTGGACAGTACATGGCTACAGTACTGTACTGTACATGGCTACAGTACTGTACAGTACATGGCTACAGTACTGTACTGTACATGGCTACAGTACTGTACAGTACATGGCCACAGTACTGTACAGTACATGGCTACAGTACTGTACGAAAAGTTCCTAACAAACGACTGCCTTATTATCAAAGTGTCAAGTGTTATAGAGGAAATTGTAGCCCTGGATCTTGGCTACATTTATGTTATAAAAGTTTCCCGATTGGACTCATACAACTCACTTTACAAGCTCTTGAATGAGCAGTACTGTATAGTACATGGCTACAATACTGTACAGTACATGGCTACAGTACTCAAGATCCATTAACCTAAAGTACCGATTGCTGTACAGTACATGGCCTAAGCCAAAGCCTAAGCTACAACCGCTACCAGTACACTAACAATACCTGATGAATGAACCAGAGTGCTGTGTGAACGGCTGCCCATTCTCTTGCGTGGATCCCGCCATCAATCCAAATCACACGTTTGTCTGTGGAGGAGATTGGGTTACCGATCTGGAAATTGAATTTGTACAGTCTGGATTAGATTAGATCAGTCTGAGACCGATCTAATCTAATCCAGACTTGATCTAATCCAGATTCAAGCTGGATTTGGATTCAAGCTTGGCTTGGCTTTATCTGGATCACGAATCCTGACTCCTGATCCCGAATTGACCCTGCTGATCTGATCGTGTTAGACTTGACCCTGTTCAAGATGTCTTTGCCCTGATTTAGCCTGATATCCTGTAGTGTACTGCTCCTGTACTGCTGGTCAATCCTGCTTGTGAAGCCAGCTTACTAGTCGCACTTGTCTAACCCGGTTCCTAACCAAATCATCTTAACCCTGAATGAATCCAGTCTTTAATTCACCAATTACCTTGATCCCCTTCAATGGTCTTCCCTCAGCCGATTTCCCAGCGATGAAAGTCTTCGCAATGTTTGGATATCCCCTCTCGACATCATCCAGATATTTCATGATCGTCTCGTAGCTATGATAGTCACCAAAACCGTACTGAAAATGGTCAGATGTTTGGTAAGTGCTGTAGCTAGTACTGTACTGTACTGTACTGTACTGTACTGTACTATAGCTAGTACTGTACTGTAGCTGATCCTGTACTGTATCTAGTACTGTACTATAGCTAGTACTGTACTGTGTATGGCACGGTACTGTAGTTAGTACTGTAGCTAGTACTGTACTGTAGCTAGTACTGTACTGTAGCTAGTACTGTACTATAGCTAGTACTGTACTATAGCTAGTACTGTACTGTAGCTGGTACTGTACTATAGCTAGTACTGTACTGTAGCTAGTACTATACTATTGCTAGCACTGTACTGTAGCTAGTACTGTACTATAGCTAGTACTGTACTGTAGCTGATCCTGTACTGTAGCTAGTACTGTACTGTAGCTAGTACTGTACTGTCGCTGGTACTGTACTATAGCTAGTACTATACTGTAGCTAGTACTGTACTGTAGCTAGTACTGTACTGTAGCTCAAAATCGAACCTTTGCCTTTAGCCCAGAGTCATCTTTGAACCTTTTGAAGATTGCCTTGAAGAGTTGATTGCTTTCACCAAAACGGGAAAGCCATGAGGACTGTTTTGGGGCCTCTCGTTCAATGATCAATCTGTATGATTACTGTAAGTACGACAGGGTACTGTAGCAGGATTAAAACGGAAAGCCGATTGGGAGAGAGAGAAATTCTGCTTTGGATTCTCTATGGCTTTTCTTTGACCACATTTGTCAATGGCTTATCTGATTTGATCAAATTCTACTCTATCAAATCAAAGAAATCTTTCTCTTCTCAATTTCTAATGGTTTCTAATGGTTCTAATGGTTCTAATGGTTCAAATGAAGCGTTCTAAGCTCTAATGAAGCGTTCTAGGTTCAAATGAAGCGTTCTAGGTTCTAATGAAGCGTTCTAGGTTCAAATGAAGCGTTCTAGATTCTAATGAAGCGTTCTAAGCTCTAATGAAGCGTTCTAGGTTCTATTGAAGCGTTCTAGGTTCTAATGAAGCGTTCTAGGTTCTAATGAAGCGTTCTAGGTTCTAATGAAGCGTTCTAAGCTCTACTGAAGCGTTCTAAGCTCTACTGAAGTGATCTCCTTTCTCAAACCGCACTTCTGCACATCGGGAATGGTAATCTTCCAATTGGCTCCCGTTTGATTCAACGTTTTCGCAAGAAACATTGCTCGACTTTCTTTCACCATTATGTCAGCGAATTGGTGAAAACCGGTGGCCGATTTCCAGAAGTCCAACTAAAATTTGTGATTTGATCAATTTGTTTTTGATTGCTCACTTTGGTTTTGTTTGCCACTGATAACTGATTTTTGAAGAATTTTGCTCAAAAATCAAGCCCAACCTTTTGCCAATGTTTGCCTGAGCCAAAGCCTGAGCCAATATTTGCCTGAGCCTGAGCTAAGGCAATGTTTGCCTGAGCCTGAGCCAAGCCAATGTTTGCCTGAGCCTGAGCTAAGGCAATGTTTGCCTGAGCCTGAGCTAAGCCAATATTTGCCTGAGCCTGAGCTAAGGCAATGTTTGCCTGAGCCTGAGCCAAGCCAATGTTTGCCTGAGCCTGAGCTAAGGCAATGTTTGCCTGAGCCTGAGCTAAGCCAATATTTGCCTGAGCCTGAGCTAAGGCAATGTTTGCCTGAGCCTGAGCTAAGCCAATGTTTGCCTGAGCCTGAGTTAAGTCAATGTTTACCTGAGCCTGAGCTAAGCCAATGTTTGCCTGAGCCTGAGCTAAGCCAATGTTTGCCTGAGTCAAAGCCTGAGCCAAAGCCTGAGCCAAAGCCTGAGCCAAAGCCTGAGCCAAAGCCTGAGCCAAAGCCTGAGCCAAAGCCTGAGCCAAAGCCTGAGCCAAAGCCTGAGCCAAAGCCTGAGCCAAAGCCTGAGCCAAAGCCTGAGCCAAAGCCTGAGCCAAAGCCTGAGCCAAAGCCTGAGCCAAAGCCTGAGCCAAAGCCTGAGCCAAAGCCTGAGCCAATATTTGCCTGAGCCTGAGCTAAGCCAATATTTGCCTGAGCCTGAGCCAAGCCAATGTTTGCCTGAGCCTGAGCTAAGCCAATGTTTGCCTGAGCCAAAGCCTGAGCCAAAGCCTGAGCCAAAGCCTGAGCCAATATTTGCCTGAGCCTGAGCTAAGGCAATGTTTGCCTGAGTCAAAGCCTGAGCCAATGTGTGCCTGAGGCATTCTGATAGACTGGATTCGCGCAAGAAATGTTAGCTGCATTCGAGAGCTATTAAAAAGCTTAAAAAACCTTTATATTTACTCTTTTGATTTCAATTCTTTTGATTTCTGAAAGAGAACTCATAGGGAATAAAAAAAGAGTTTTTTAGAAATCTAGATTCTACTACTATTTATTTAGATTCTACTACTATTTACTTTTTAGATACTACTCTGGAACTACCTGTTGCCTTATATACTTCCTGACAATATATACCGAATAACAATACCTCGTACTCGTGCGATTTCATATAAAGTCTGTTGAGAGCGTCAAGTTGTTGGCTGGTGTTGGGGAAAATGCGAAAAACGAGGTGTTTCCTGAAAATTTTAGGTTTTAGCCAAGGTTTTAACCGCAAAAAATGGCTTAAAATGAGTTTTTGCTGTTTTAGTGTTATTTAATGATGTCATATGGTTCCAATATGGCTCCTTTCAGGAAATTGGCTCCAATATGGTTCCTTCCAGGAAATTGGCTCCAATATGGTTCCTTTCAGGAATTTGATTCCAATATGGCTCCAATATGGTTCCTTCCAGGAATTTGATTCCAATATGGTTCCTTCCAGGAAATTGATTCCAATATGGTTCCAATATGGCTCCTTTCAGGAATTTGATTCCAATATGGTTCCTTTCAGGAATTTGATTCCAATATGATTCCAATATGGTTCCTTCCGGGAAATTCTTTCCAATATGGCATTTATTAATGTCATTTAATGTCAATTTAATGTCATTTAATGTCTTTTTAATGTAAGATAGTCTTGCAATTCTCAATTTCTTTAGTCTTGGACAAGCCTGTAGAAGAGCTTAGCCAGAAAGCTTAGCACTAGAAGCTCTAGAAAAAGATTGCTCTAGTCAACTAGAGCAAAGCAATAGAGCTTCTAGAGCTTCTAGAGCTTCTAGAGCTGTTTCTAGGGCTTCTAGAGCTTCTAGAGCTGTTTCTAGGGCTTCTAGAGCTTCTAGAGCTTCTAGAGCTTCTAGAGCTGTTTCTAGGGCTTCTAGAGCTTCTAGAGCTGTTTCTAGGGCTTCTAGAGCTTCTAGAGCTGTTTCTAGGGCTTCTAGAGCTTCTAGAGCTTCTAGAGCTTCTAGAGCTGTTTCTAGGGCTTCTAGAGCTTCTAGAGCTGTTTCTAGGGCTTCTAGAGCTTCTAGAGCTTCTAGAGCTTCTAGCGCTGTTTCTAGGGCTTCTAGAGCTTCTAGAGCTTCTAGAGCTAAGTCTAAGTTTGAAGCTGTGCTAGGCTTTGAATTTCTGAAAATCTATTCAAAAATCTATCCAAAAATCTATCCAAAAATCCAATAAATTCTTCAATTTACTCATAATTTGTCGGCGGATTGGCGAATTTCTCTTCTCGATTCAACGCGGTAATTGTTTGAAGAGTGAAGAGGAGAAATAGAAGGCTCATTTCTAGAGTAACGCCCATTTCTAAAGTATCAAATAAAATAAAGAAAATTGAGAAGAAAAGACTCGGAAATCTCATAAAGAATATCTCAAGAAATCCATAGAAATAAAAAATTTTTCCGATTTCCAAAAAACGGATAAACTGATATTTTTGAGAGAAAAATGGGGAAAACGGAAATATTTTGAAAAAAGAAAGTTGGAATGGTCACGTTGGACTGGAACTTGGAATTTTTGAGAGAAAAACTCTTTCTAGTGGACTTTGTGCTTGAAAATTTGGCTCTTCCGTAGTTTCGGGGATTTTGAACGGCTGCTCACACTTTAGAGGCCTCTGACTTTGTCCAGAGATTATATTTTTGCTAACTTTTTAGATCATTGTACAGAGGAGATTTCAGTCTTTCAAATGATATCAAATAGAGGTTGATTCGACTTTTCATTCCAATACAAACAAGACAAAAAGACACCCGAGTTGGAAACGAATGGGGAACGAATGGGAAACGAAGGGGAAACGAAGGGGAAACGAAGGGGAAACGAATGGGGAACGAATGGGGAACGAAGGGGAAACGAAGGGGAAACGAATGGGGAACGAATCGGCCTCAAATAGAAACCGAAATGGGACCAAATCTGATTCGAAATGGAAACAAATCGGCTCAAAATGGGTCGTCACACTTTAGAGGCCTATAACTTTGTCCAGAGATTATATTTTTGCTAACTTTTTAGATCATTGTACAGATGAAATTTCAGGCTTTCAAATGATACCAAATAGAGGTCGATTGGACTTTTCATTCCAATACAAACAAGGCAAAAAGACACCCGAATGGGAAACGAATGGGAAGAGAATGGGAAGAGAATCGGAAGAGAATTGGAACAGAATGCGAACCGAAAGGGAAACAAATTGGACCTAAATGGAAACCGAATGCGAACCGAACCGGAACCGAAGTCGAACCGAAAGGAAAACAAGGCAAAAAGATACCCGAATCGGAAACGAATGGGAAGAGAATCGGAAGAGAACCGGAACCGAATGCGAACCGAAACGGAACCGAAAGGAGAACAAATCCGCCCTAAATGGGAACCGAATGGGAACCAAATCGGAACCGAAAGGGAAACAAATGAAACAAACAAAAAATTTGTCGTAAATTTGCAGATTTCCATGAACTTTCCTTAAAATAGCCATATTTCCCTAAATTTACCCTAGAATTTGCCCTAGATGTTGTCCTAGATGTTGTCCTAGAATTTGCCCTAGATGTTGCCCTAGATGTTGTCCTAGATGTTGTCCTAGATGTTGTCCTAGATGTTGTCCTAGAATTTGCCCTAGATGTTGCCCTAGATGTTGTCCTAGATGTTGTCCTAGAATTTGCCCTAGATGTTGCCCTAGAATTTGCCCTAGATGTTGTCCTAGATGTTGCCCTAGAATTTCTCCTAGAGCCTGAGCCTAAATTTGCCCTAAACTTGCCACAAAATTGTGATCAATCCATAAATTTGCCTTAAACTTTCCATAAAATTGTCATTAATCCATAAATTTCCCTTCAAATTCCCCTAAATTTACAAATTACTCTTAAGAATTATCAACTTTATAAAAAAAAATGAGTCGAAAACGAAATAGCTTTCCGGAAAAAGCAGAACTTTTCACAGAAAAGCTTTTCCAAATCGAAAACGATTGAGATCTATGTTTTTGAAAGAAAAATGAACGAAAAAAAACTCGATTGGCATGCCGAAATTGGAGAGAGAAAAGAAAGGAGAACGGTGAAAAGGATCGGATTTTTTTTTAAAAATGAGATTTAGAGAGATTTAGATTGAGATTTTGAGATTTTCCATACCTAGAATCCATTGAAATCTTCGATGGATTCATTCAACAGAAAGAATAGAAAGAAAAGAAAGAACAGAAAGAACAGAACAGAAAAGAAAGAACAGAAAGAACAGAAAGAAAAGAAAGAACAGAAAGAAAAGAAAGAACAGAAAGAAAAGAGAGAACAGAACAGAAAAAATTAGATTGCAGTAATAGAGTACCGGCCGTATTGATATCTAAGGCTGAGCTGGCTGAGCTAAGCCTGTTCCTGATCGGCCTGGCCTTGATGCTTACCCTGGAGCCTGCTGCTTACCCTGGAGCCTGGTCCTTACCCTGGAGTCTGGTCCTTACCCTGGAGCCTGCTGCTTACCCTGGAGCCTGAGGCTTACCCTGAAGCTTGATGCTTACCCTGGAGCCTGAGGCTTACCCTGGAGCCTGATGCTTACCCTGGAGCCTCATGCTTACCCTTGAACCTCAACTAAATATCAGTCAGCTCTCTAAATCAAGGTTTTAAGCAGAATTTGAGTTATTTGAATGAAAACGATACGATTTTCTTGCTGTGAAAACCTGTAGTTTTGAGTAAATCAAATAAAAGATGAACGATTGATTTGACAGGGGAAAACTGAGTGGAAAATTGAGATGAAAAGACGCTAAACCAGTTAGTGAAAGATTTGGATAAAGATTTGGCATAGATTTGGAATAGACTTGGCATAGATTTGGAATAGATTTTCTCTTGGAAATTGCTTTTTATTTGGCTTTTTACTTGGCTTTATTCTTTGCTTTATTCTTGGCTTTACAT